TGGTTGACTTACTCCCTCACACAACTCAAGGGTTGGACGGCTTAATCGCGCTGAACTAGTTTGCTTAATTCAACAGTGAGGTTTGCCCTAAATTAACCTAGTTAGGTGACTTAAAAAGCTAAAGGAAAACCAACTCGATTGAGTCTCCTTTGAAAGGGGGATTTTCCTCTCTAATCTAGATTAAAGTGGCTAATTAGATTGCTAAGCACCAACATGCATAAACCTAAGGATGCTATGCACAATTAGGGATGGCAACTTTGCCCATAGCCATGTGTTTCTTACTATCCAACCCAATTGGGTTGGGTATGAAATCCAAATAGATGGATATGGGTAGAGTTTGATGGGTTTGTACCCATATCCATTTACTTTGGGTTGAGTTGGGTTTATATCAAATGGATTTGGGTTTGTACCCATGCCCAAATACAAATTACAGTTTGGTACCCAAACTTAATAGATATGCATGTTTAGTACCTAAATTTAATTTTTTTGCATATAAGTCCTCAAAATATCGATGGAAAATTACGTTTTGGTACCTAAATTTTTTTGGTCTTACATTTTGGTACCTAAACTTTTCAAGTTTTGCAAATAGGTCAAATTTTTGCATGTGTAGTTAAAACCATGGTAAAGGAAACCGTACCGGACATCATACCGGATTCCTTTCTGGTATGGTATTTTGTGGTACGACCGTGGTTCAACCGTTTTGTACCGGTAAATACCGTTTTCCACTATTGATAGAGAAATCAAATGCGATAGTATAAAAAATATAATCCATCAAAAAAAGAACCAAATAGAGCATTATACAACCACGGTGACCCATTTTCAACATAGAAAAATAGCAAAATAATATTCTTTTTTAATTATTTTCCACATATTGGACGAGAATCCGGAGAAATGAAGCTGAATCATAGACCAGGAAACCGGATCGTACCTGACGGTTCAACCGGTCAAACCGAAAAAACCGGCCGGCACGGTAAAATCAGCACAATCAGCCCACTGTACCGCTTTTGGTCCAATTTCGGTTGAACCGACCGGTACGATCCGGTTTCCTGGTCTATGGTTAAAACACCCTCAAGTAAATGGATATCCATATCCAACCCATACCCATTTAGATTATGGAAGCCCCAAATCCATATGCACTTCACCACATACCCAACCCATTATCAATGGGTCTACTTGGGTTTGGGTATAATTACCCATGGGTGGGTAATTTTCCATCCCTATGCACAATCCTTGGGTTACTAAGCATCAACATGCACAAAACTAACACTACAAGAAAATGGGCTTACATTTACAAATTGGTTTGTAGCTAAAACATAAATAGTGTGTGGCTAAATGATCTAGCTAAAAAAAATTTATTTTATAGCTTGCGTGGCTAAAAGTGGCGCAGCTAAAGCTCAGGCACAAATATTTTCACTTGGGTAGCTAAAATCTATTTCTTTTAGTTATATGGAGAAAAAAAATATAGCTAAAAGTACAATAGTTCTTGCCACACAAGTGAAATTTTGTAACAAAATCATCAAAAGTCTTTAGCTATGTAAGATATATCATATGGCTATATCTAAACATTTGTCACTGAGTAATTGATTTGAAGCTAAATAGCATGTTTTCTTCTATGACCAATGACATAGATATAGCTTCGAATAAAGTTTCATTGTGGCTCATTTCAACACTAAATAGTAAATAGCCACAAACTATTTTGTCGCTAAAAATGCTACTTTCTCGTAGTAGGCATATTTTAGATAATTATGATAAAAAAAGAATTGAGCATTGGATGTCATTGGCTACTTTCCTTAATAGGCTTCTTATCTTACAATGTTAACCTTTAGATGAGATACATAGCATGGTTAGTAATTTCTACTAGGGCCAGAGAGGTTCGGAGAGGAGAGTACAATGGATCTGTAGGGAGGAACTGATATGTGCAAAGGAAGAAGGTGGGTTGGGTTTTAGAGATTTGCATGGTTTTAACATTGCTTTACTAGCAAAGCAGCTCTGGCGACTCTCTACACGGCCGACTTCTCTAGCTGCGCGCATAATAAAGGCCAAATACCATAGGAGAACCGGAATTTTAGAGGCTTCGGTGGGGTACCAGCCAAGTTTCATATGGAGAAGCCTAATGAGTGCACAAGGTCTACTAGCGGAAGGGTTACGCTGCGTGTGGGAGATGGATCGCAGATCCGCATCTGGGGTGATAAATGGCTGCCAAATGATCCATTCTTTGTCCCGGATGCGCCAAGAGGGTTGGAGGTGGATGCAACGGTTAGGGAACTCATTCATCCAACGGAAGAGAGGTGGGATTTACCATTATTGGAAGCATGCTTTTCTGCTCAAACAGTTCAGCACATTATGTGCATTCCTTTGCGCGAGCAGGGGGAGAAAGATGAGCTTATTTTGGCACTCCAATGAGAATGGAGAATACATAGTGAAGGATGGATATAGGACATGATTGGAGGGATTTAAAGCTAGGCACGGGGTTGAGGTACAGGGAGAGCAAGAGGTGTGGAAGAAGCTTTGGAAGCTTAAAATAAAATCCCTCCGAAAGTCAAGCATTTAGTGTGGCGGTTCGCGCGAGAAGCTCTTCCAACAGCCGATAAGGTGAGTACACGTAGTAAGAGGTGGAGCGATCGATGCCCGTTCTGTGACATGAAGGAGACACAGATCCATCGTTTCGGAGAGTGTGAATGGGTGTCGAGGCTTTGAAAGAATGCTTCCTCTGTCGAGACTCGCAGGAGTGCTACGGATGGTTGAAGAAGGTAATGAATACTTTCTCGGAGGATGTCCTGGAGAGATGGTGCGTTTTAATGTGGTTTTTTTGGAAAGAACGGAACGCTCAACTCTTTAATGGAGTGAAATTACGCGAGGATGAAGTGGTGGTCCTGGCAAGAGTCACCAGCATGGGAATTCAAATGAGAGAGTTGAGGGGGAGGTGTCCAAGAAGGCATGGGAGAAGCCAGAAGCAGGTGAGATAAAGGTCAATTCGGATACTACCTAATGGTGGGACGAGATTGGGAGTTGTGATACGCGGCCAAGCCCAAGGTGGACGATTTATTCCCAAGAATGTGCGAGATCAACCCAACACAGAGGCGGCGGAGGCGTGGGCAGCCGAGATGGGGCTTCAGCTAGCCGCCCAGGTGATGGGATCGAGGTTCATACTTGAAACTGATTGCCAAACCCTTGTGTAGAAGATTGATAAAGCGAGTTCGGTTCGGACGGAGACTGGAATTGTGTGTAGAAGCATACGAAGGAAGCTGGAAACGCTAAGCAATGGCAGCTGGAAGTTCATAGCTATGGAAGGAAATGTTGCTGCCCATATAATGACGCATTCGAAGACTAGATGGAACGAAACGTTGGTTTGGTGGGATAGTCCACCAGGTTTCCTTGCTCATCAGTTACTGCTGGATAATGTAACCACAGACAGTGATCGATAAAAGATGCAGGATCCTTCTATCAAAAGAAAAATCTTACAATGTTAACCTTGATAATCCCTTGTTTTTTGTGGAAACGATTTTATTTCAAAAATTTTGAATGACTGTAAATAATTAATCGTTTAAACCATATATGTATAAATTTATTATTAATAAAAGAAAATATTATTTACAATAAGTAATGCAACATACTTTCAATCAAAAGTGCTGAAACAATATAACATATATTCTTTTGCATATTTCTGACATTACATAATTACATTTATCAACATTAAAGCAAATAGACCTTGGGAAACTGCTCGTCCACCAGTAAAAAAAAAAAAAAAATGTGGCGATTCGCTCTCCCCTCTCTCTTCTCTTTTCTGCGAATATCTCTAGCTTTCCTCTTCGCTGGGTTCTCTATGGAAGAGACCAGGAAGAACACGGCGTCCATCCGACGGCCGGCTGTTGGGTTTGTAGCGCTCGGGAAGGAGGCGATGGAAGCTGGGGAACTGGATTCCCTTCGTGAAATCTGGAAATCGATTCGTCTCCTATCCTCTAAAGGAAATTCCGAAAAAAATAGGTTCTTGGAATTATCCAGATCCAACGGAAAACTTTGGGGATATTCTCAGATCCGGCTGGGAGATTACTTCGGCGGTGATCATCAGGAGATAAGTCCTGGAATAGAGTCCTGTACTCAGACGGTTCATCGACTGGCCCCGCAATGGGTGTATTTAACCTCGCTCCCGGGTGAACAGAAAAACTATCCCAATAAAATTTTCTGTGCCGCTTTGGAGACGGAGGGAGAGCCTTTTCGAATACCAGACTTGAAAGCTTCGCGGAAACAGAGCTACCATGGCGGATGAACCAATGAACCCGGACCAGGTGGTTGAGTTTGAACTGGAAGATGTGGAGGAGAGTATGCAGAGGGCAAAGCTGAGCCTAGTCGGGCGGCTGTTCATGGATAATCCCCCCAGCCTCAAAACCATCCAGAAAATTGTGTATGGGGAATGGGGCTGTTCGGGGAAGGTGACTGTTATGGAAGCGGAATTGGGGCTCCTCCAATTTCTGTTCGAAGATGAACGCGATAAAGATTGGGTCCTGCAGAGGACACCGTGGCAGGTGAAAGACAGGATTCTGCATCTGCAGAATTGGGAGCCGATCACACCGAAGGTGGTTGAGGCGCTGGGCAGAGCACCCTTTTGGGTCCAGATGTGGGGCATCCCCTCACATTGCAGAACAGTCGCGTTCGGGCGACGAATGGCGGAGAGCAAACTGGGGTTTGTGTGTGATGCTAGCTTGTTCGGCTTGAAGGGAGTACCAGGGCATTTTGTGAAGGTTCGGGCCATGCTTGATGTAACGGTGCCGCTCCGTTCGCAGCTCTTTGCGACCAATCCCAGTGTTGGGAAATTCTGGATTACCTTGGTGTATGAGCACCTCCCACTGTATTGCTACCACTGCGGCCGATTTGGGCACACTGCACAGAACTGCACCTTCCCTTCGCCGCCCGGGGAAGAACACTTTGGCCCGGAGCTCTCGACAAAGGAATCGGGATATCGAATTAATGAGATTTCCTTGGCGGCCATTTATGGGGCGCCGATGCAAAAAACAGTGTGGGTGAATCCCGTGACCCAGGGTAAGCGAAAAGGGACTGGTGGATATGATCGAGATGTGCGCATGAAGGATAAAGAAGAGGAGGGCGGATCGAACAGGGGGGTGGTCTTGGCGTTACCTGCCTCCGAGAAATCTGCAGGAGCGAGGCCTGAGAAGCAGCAGGGGAAGGAGGCGACGCCTTCTGGACAGGGGAAGGGAGCTAAGGCGGAGGTTCCTAGAGGGGAGATCAGGGTATCGAAGGCTGGGGCGGAAGGGGTTCGGGGAAAAGGAAAGGCGATGGATCGAGATGAACAGGTGGGGCGGCAGGGAGTTGGTGATCTGAAGGCTGGGAATGGGTCGAAGGAAGGGATGGGGAAGCAGGTGGTCGATCCCAGTCAGGGGAAGGTGAAATCTGAGCCTAAACCCGCAGCTGGTGGGCATGGGTTTCCCTCGAGACCAAAAGTGATCTTCAAGGTGCGGGGGGCTGTGCTCAAAAAAGAATCGGGGGAAGGGAAGGGGGTTGGAGGGATGCAGGTGGCTGGTGGGGCGAAGGGAACTGGAAAGGAAGGGAACCAGGGGCTGGGCAGCATGGGCGGGAAGAAGGAGGGGCTTGCGATGGAGGCTGGTGTGATCGGGGAAGGGACTACCAAGCAGGCGGACGGTGCAGTGGCGAGGGAGAGTGGAAACAAGGGGCTGCCGACATCTTCAGAATCCTCACCTTCGGGACAGCAGGTGGCGTTCCGGATGACGGCGCCGTCGGAGGAGGAGATGGGGGATAGGAAACGTTCAGCGGATCTTGTAGAGGATCTGGCAAAAGATCCCACTCCGGTGAAGAAGTTATGTCTGGATGATCCGGTGGAAGAGGCGCGGCCTCTTGAGACTCCGACTGGGGAGGAAAGTGCTGGAAATATTGGTGAATCTGTTCAGGTGGAGGAAGCCGGCCTTGAGCGGCCCCATGTAGCCAAATGAGGCTTCTTGCTTGGAACGTGAGGGGGATTGGGCCTTCCCTTACGTTTCAATCTATCCTTGGTGTTGTCCGGTCCAATAATCCTGAGATTGTTTTCTTTTCCGAAACCCGTTCGAGGCGTAAGGTTGTGTCTCGCCGCCTTCGGGGATTAGGTTTTTTTGATTTTTTCTTAGTTGACGCTGTGGACTCTGCTGGAGGGTTAGTAGTGGGTTGGTCTCCCGAGCTTCTGGTCTCGGTTTTATGTAGCTCTTCCTTTTTTATTTCGATTTGTGTCGAACAGAATGGAATAAAATATTGTGTGGTTTTTGTTTACTTTAGTTGTCGGGAGGTGGAGCGGGTTGTTCAGTTTGATGAAATGCGGCGGTTTTGTGCTAATATTACGTTACCATATATGGTGGTGGGAGATTTTAATGACACTCTAGCCTCAAATGAAAAAATGGGAGAGAGACCTTGGAATCCAGTACATTCGCAACCTTTTAGGGAGTTCGTGGATATACTGGGGCTTCATGATCTTGGTTTCTCCGGAAACCCGTTTACGTGGACAAATAGGAGGATGGGGGATGCCTGCATTCAGGTGAGATTGGATAGAGGCTTGGCCTCTGACAATTGGGTCCAGTCGTTCCCAGATTCTCTAGTAGTCCATGGAACGGATCTTGGGTCGGACCATAGAGCCCTGATTGTGGCTGATAAGCCTTTTGAACGAACGGGTAAGAGATTGTTCCGTTTTGACGCTCGGTGGGCGGAAAATGTGGAGGTTCGGCCGATGGTGGAAAGAGTGTGGAATGAACCGGTCCAAGGATCGGAGATGTACCAGTTATGGGCTCGCCTCAAAAAACTGCGGCATCTTCTTTTCCAATGGAGCAAGGCGGGGACCACAAATTCTGAACGCCAGATTCGCGTCCTTCAGGCTGAGATTGGGGCTTTGAAAGAGGACTCCCCGGTAAATTGGGATCGGATCAATCAATTGGAGCGGGACCTCACCTTGGAATGGGCGGCGGAAGAGATGCACTGGAAACAAAAATCGAGGGTGCGGTGGTTAAGAACTGGGGATCAGAATTCATCGTACTTTCATACGGTGACTCGGGCCCGGAGAAAGCGGAATTTTGTGGAAAAGTTGCAACGGGATGATGGTACCTGGGCTATGGAGGAACCAGAGAAGGCGGAGGTGGCGGTGGGTTTTTATGAAAATTTGTTTACCGCAGAGGCGGATGTCCTGGGTATCCGGGAACAGGTTAATGCTCTTCCGTTGACGGCAAAAGTTACTGAGCAAATGAATGGGGGCTTGGTTGCAGAGGTTTCGGAAGAGGAGATAAGGAAAACGGTTTTTGGGATGGGGTCGTTACAGGCACCAGGGTCGGATGGTTTTACGGGGAAATTTTTCAAGTCTTTTTGGGATATTGTAGGGGCTTCGGTGGTTTCGGCTGTGCGCTCATTCTTTCGTAATGGGCATATCTTACGCAGCTTTAACCATACTTGGCTTACATTAATTCCGAAGACTGAAAAGGTCGAGACTATGCGCCAACTACGTCCCATCAGCTTGTGCCAATTTGTCTACAAGGTGATTACCAAGATCATGGCGGAAAGAATGGCGGCAATTTTGCCGCAAATTGTGTCCTCGGGGCAGAATGGTTTCATTAGGAAACGTCAGATCATGGATAATATTTTAATTGGGCACGAGATTATGCACTATCTCAAGAACAAGCGGGCAGGGAAGAAAGGCTTTATGGCCTTGAAGGTGGATATGGAGAAAGCCTATGACAGGGTAGAATGGCCTTTCTTACTGGCAGTTCTTGAGAAATTGGGTTTTAGTTCGACTTGGGTTCGTTGGGTGAAAGAGTGTATCTCGACGGCCTCCTTTTCGGTCATGGTGAATGGTAGTCCCTCTGGGCTTTTTCGATCCTCGAGGGGGCTTAGGCAAGGGGATCCTTTGTCGCCTCTGCTCTTTGTAATCTGTACGGAAGGTTTATCGGCCCTGCTGCATTAGGCCATTGACCGGAAAAGATTAGAAGGGGTACGGGTGAGCCCCAGAGCGCCCCGGGTTTCCCATCTTCTTTTTGCAGATGACTCCTACCTCTTCCTGAGAGGGTCTCTTCAGGATTGTCATAATGTGATGGCGGTGCTCTATGATTATGAGGCGCTGAGTGGTCAGCGGGTTAATTTGGCTAAATCTGCTGTCTGTTTTAGTAGGAACATTGCTGAGGTGGATCAGGAAATCATGGGGCGTTGCTTAGGGATTGGTGCAATAGGGGTCCATGATAAATACTTGGGTCTTCCTACGCTGGTGGCCAGGTCGAAATCTGATACCTTCCGTTTCTTGGAGGAGAATTTGCTTGAGCGGATTAAGGGATGGAAGCAGAGGCACTTATCTTGGGCTGCTAAGGAGACGCTCCTAAAGTCAGTGGCGGGGGCTTTGCCAATACACGGGATGTCGTGTTTTAAATTGCCATTGACCCTTTGTCGGAGGATGGATAAACACATGGCTAGGTTTTGGTGGGGATCCTCGGGGGGGCGGTCGAGCATTCCTTGGGTGTCATGGCGGCGGCTTTGTCGTAGTAAACACGAGGGTGGGATGGGGTTCCGGAGATTTGAGGAATTTAACCAGGCTCTTTTGGCCAAGGCGGCTTGGCGGATTCTTGATGAACCAGATTCTTTGCTGGCGCAGGTTTTTCGTGGGAAGTATTTCCCGCAAGGATCTATCCTGTTGGCCAAGCTAGGCTCGCGTCCTTCCTGGGCTTGGCATAGCATTCTCCATGGGGCCCGATTATTGTTGAAAGGGCTAGGCTGCCAGGTTGGGTCTGGGGAATCAATTCCCATCATGTCAAGTGGATGGGTTCCAAAAAAATTTCCGGGTCTTCCGGAGCTGCGAGTTGGGCATCACTTAGTTGGTGGGGAGCGGGTCGTTTCGCTAATTGACCAGGAGACACGATCGTGGTGCCAAGAGTGTCTTGAGCAGACATTCAGTGTGGACACGGTGCGTGCTATCCTGCAAGTTCCGATTCCACGTACCCCGACTGAGGATACGTGGGTATGGAGAATGGACCCGTCTGGGGTATATACGGTGAAGACCGGGTATAGGCTAGCCGAGAGCCTGAATCGCGCCAGTATGAGAAAAAAGCCAGGTTTTGAGCCGGTGGATAGGGTGCTATGGATGAAGGTTTGGGGGCTTGAGGTTCAACCAAAGCTCAGACTTTTTATCTGGCAGCTATTACAACGCACGCTCCGGACGATGGAGGCTTTGATTCGAAAAAAGGTCTTGGTGCTACCACGATGTCCTGTGTGTTGGGCTCCGGAAGAAAACATAGAACATTTATTCTTCTCGTGCCCAGTGGCAGTGGCTATGTGGGAAATGTCAGGATTGCAGAATGACTGGAGGATTGGTCAGGATCAGGCGTTTCCTATCTTCTTTCGTGGTTTTTTGGAGCGGGATTCTTCTCCAGCACGAATGGTGCGTCTTGTTTGTCTCCTTGGCGGATTTGGAAGTCGAGGAACTTGGTGGCTTTTGAGGGACAGCAAGATACGTTGTGCGTGTTGGAGAGGCAGTTCAGGTTTCAGGTCCAGGAATGGCTGGATAGTGTGTCTCCGGGGAATGGGAGAGTAGCTGATCAAGTAGAGGCGGTGATTGATCTGGGATTCAGGCCTGGTGTTTATAGGTGTTCGTTTGATGGGGCGATCTCTACTGGGTCGCACGGAGCAGCTGGTTTTGTCTTGCAGGATGAGGCTGGTGGGATTCTGATGGCTCGGGGATTGTGCCTTCCAGGTATGGTGGATCCTATGTTGGTAGAGGCGATAGCTTTTCGGGAGGCACTTTTCTGGTGTGTAGAGGCTGGTCTTTCGGCGGTGCATCTTGTCGGGGATGCGAAGGTGGTAATTGACAAAGTTAACACAGGGACCATCAGAGACGCGAAGGCCGGGGCTATCCTCCAGGAAATCTGTCGACTGCTAGGGGCTAATGGTGGTTTTAGAGTAGTTTTTGTAGGTAGACAGAACAATAGGGTGGCCCATTTGGTGGCTAAAAAAGCCCTCGATTTGTTTCCTACTGGGGTTGTTGGTTTTGATTTTCGAGCGTGGTTGTGCCCGGAGATTGGTGTGATGTAACTCTTTTGTCTTGTTAATGCAAGTATCTTTTCGGCAAAAAAAAAAAAGCAAATAGACCGTTTATAATAATTTACTTCAACTTTGACCACATCGACTTTCTTCCATTAATGTAATCCGATAAATAACTTCTGTCTCAGCCTGGAAAACTAGTAATTGAGCTTCTATTCTGTTTGTAATCCGCATACATACTTGCAAATAGAAGAAATTAAGTTACGCATAGTACTAAAAAGAAAATTGATATTAACACATTGTTTGCAACCAAATGAATTGGGAATTTTGAAATGACTTCCTGTATATTGTCAAAAGAATTCCTATGTTAAGAATTACATATTTATATTTAATTCTATAAAAATAAATTGATTGAATTCCAAAATCATATTAGGAATACACACAAAATTGAACTAAACTAAAAGTTTTCAACTATAACCTGGGAGCAGATCCGGTGAGTAACCTTGTGGTGAGTAACCATGAGTAACCTTGTGGTGAGTAACCATGAGTAACCTGTCCACATCAGCATGACATCAGCATCCTCTCTCTCCTGGACTGCTTTTAATTTTCCCCTCTTTAATTTTTGACGGAAGATTTCTCACTGATTTTAAGTCAGAATTTAATTTTTTTGTACAGTTATATCAGATTAATTGTGCTCTTCAAAATGATATCCACTTTAATATATTTTTCAAACAAAAAAATTGAGCCATTTTTTACCAATCTATACCTTATAGTATTGACTAGTATTGAAATAAAAGCATACCTATGGTTTGAAAAAAGTACCATGGTGGTATGAACAAACCAAGACTGTAGGATGGTTGAATACATGATAGTAGAAATATATTAATTGTCATTTACGACTTTTAACATTGTATACCACAAGATACCACCCCGTACCAGGGTGGTATTGTATGGTATT